TGGGCTCAGAGGCTGCATGGCTGAGCGAGCGAGGGGGCCGGGAAAAGCCACTAGCTGTGGGATGCCCTCCCCCAGCCTGTCGCTGGCCAATCACAAGAACCGTCTGCAGACCGTGCAGGGGCAGTGACAGGTCCCACCTGTCCCCCTTGGACCGGGAATCCAACCCAATAGCGGCGCTGCAGGTGGGCCCCCTCCCGGGACAGTGGGGCTTGGCAGGTGGACGTTGTCCTATGCCAAGGAAATCTTGTCAATGCAACGGAAGAGGTTCCACGCTGCAGGGGAAGGGAAGAGGCGCCCAAGCCGTGCCCGATGATACCGCTCGGGGAGCGACAAGGCTCACATCCTAGGCCCTGTCCCGCCAGCAGTGACCCGAATGCACTGGCTTTCACCTCAGTCCCAGCACAGGAGGCAGCCAGGTGCTCACATGCCCCAGCAGCCGGGTGAGGCGCTGCTGAGAGGCCTAGCAGCAGCAAGACAAGGACAGCCAAGGAACCAAGCCACGTTTTCCCAGGAGTGCCCAGGCTGCAGCTGTGGTCGAGCAGGCTGAAGACTGGGCAGAGGCCAGAGGTCTGATGCTGGCTCTACATGCCACTGGGGAAGTCACGGTCCAACTCCGTGCCCCAGTCTCCCCTGAGAAGCTGCAGCTCCAGCCGGTGGGAGAACTAAGCCGGAAAAACAGGGCAGGGTTCAGTTTGACAAAGAAACCTGGAGGCTTCATCCTACCTGGTAGCAACAAGAGGGTAGCTGTGGCAGGGCGATGCCCACGCGTCTCTTGTCCAGGGCATACAATCGTAGAGCAGCAAGTCCTTCTCTGTCATAGCCATGAGGATGGGCCGCCACTGCTGTCTCCCTCCATCCAGCCTAGCCTGCAAGAAGTCCGGAGAGCTGTTCCCAGGCATTCCAAGCAGCGTGTTACCCACGGGGGAAAGGGGCCTCACGTGGGAATACCCACAGGCTGTACTCTGGGGCCAAGGACATACAAATCGTATCAGCTACACGATTAGTCAGTTACCCACTTCCCAACATCCTTACTTGGGAGCGTGTTAGCTCATCATCGGAGAACAGCAGCAGGGCGCTGGCCCAGCCATCCAGGAGATCCCATGCTCAGCATGGCCACCGCCCAGCTCGTACCAGGCCAAGAAAACACTTACAAGGTCAAGGTTAAACTACCAACTTCGGGAGCAGCGAGTTCCTGTAAGGGCTAGTCTGGGACTTGACGTCTAACCCCCCAGTGGCTGGGCGACACTCAGCACCTGCCCCACACATCCTTCCCTGGGGGCACCGCTGGACACAGGTTACACTGACACTGGGAGAGGCCAGGCCTACAGACGGTAGCCTAGCAGAAAGCTGCGCCAGGCGTGTGCCAGCTCCCAGGCTCATGGGGTCAGGTGACAGGACAGGACACAGCCCAGAGGGGAGAGCGCCCAGCTTGCTGTGCATCTGGCCAGCCCAGAACAGAAAGTGCTGTATAAATGCTCCTGGAGTGGCCGATTCCCCTGCTAGAGCCATCCCGCCCTTCCCTGGGCAGCAGCAGGACAGCGAGCACAATGCACTCGACCTGATGTTACAGCCCACAGGAACGGAGGGAGACAGGCCCATCTTCCTCTAGCTGTTAACATTCCCCTGCCCGATGCCTTGAGGGAGACCGTTCCCATGGCTGGGCTCTCTGCTCTATGCCCAGCGTGCAGCCCGTTAGCTCTGCCAGGTGGTTATTTTTGTGCTGCGCAGGAGGAGTTCAATGCTTGGTATTTACGCTGGGAGCTAACGTTTGCAGAGCCTGGGAGCTCGGTCAGCGTCTTCGTGTCAGACAGGGAAGTGGGGACAAAGTGTCTGACTTGCCCAAAGCTGTGGGGAGTCTGTGGCAGACCTTGAGCAGATTCCAGACCTGACTCTTGGCCATGTGCTCTAGCCACTAGACCATGCTTCCAACAGCTGACGTCAAGTGACTGGCTTAAATAAAACAGGACATTCCAGCCCCACAGATACACCTTTTCCTCCTCTTAGCTGCATGAAGCAGGCGCTACCGGCCACTCTAGGAAGCCTGGAGCTGCCAAAGCCTTAACGTGTCTAATGGGAAATGGAACTCGGCCCCAGGAAGGTCGCGCCGGCTCAGTGAAATGCAAGAGGGTGTCAAGTTCAGAGAGGTGCAGCATGTAGCCTGTCCTGCACACTCCAGGGCCCAACTGCATAGTGACAGCTAGGAACCCGGCTGTGCACCAGGCATGGGACCTCGAGAAAACCCTAGCGACTTCACAAGACTGCCGGGCCAGATTCCATCAACTCGACTTGCCCTGCTCGCCGGCCCATGAGGAATGGCCTCAGCTTTCCCAGGTCTTCCTACTCACAGTGATGCTTTGCCCTGTACTGAAGGGTTTCAAAGCACGTCACTGGAAGCAAGTGACCTTTCCTAGCGCCGGGGGTTCTCTCAGCCCCACTGCTAGATGGGCCGAGCGTTCGATTTCTCACAGCCACGTGACTCAGTGACAGGTCACATTTCTATTGGAAATATTATCAAGAAAGGAACTCCTCCCAGGTCTCTGCTGTAACCACTAGGCCATCCTGCACCCTATTAAGATTATGGCACTGCCATCCCTTTCCGGCCAGCGAGTTACCCAAGGGGTGCATGCACAATGAGGCCAGACACCTGGGCATCAGGAGCTAGAAAGCCCTACAACCTAGGATCGTGTGAAACTGGCACCTGGAGCAAACTCCCCCGTGTTTTATTGCACATGGAGCCTGCAAGACAGCTGCATACGCACAGTGCCCTTATGCAAAGAGGAAGAGTATCTGGTGACATTTTGACTAAAGGGGAAGTGAATTACCCAGGAGCAGAGAGGACAGACAGTCAGGAGATCCTGGAGCCCCTTGTGCATGCAAAGCTGCCAGCTGACTCCAGCATCATCCATGTGTGGCTGGGAATAAGATTGGATTTGCCCGGACACTGCTGAGAGTCAGAACAGACAAGCCCTGCACACAACCCATCCACAACAGGCACGGGAAGCCGGTGTGGAGGTTACAGCCCTGTCCCCAAAGGCCACAGCACATGCCCCTGAAGGGTGGGTCTGAGGCCACTCTCCAGAGGAGGGGAGGAATTACGGGAGCTGTGGCCTGCCAGGTAGCGATGAGAACGAGTGCTGAAAACACTGGCGGGCTCAGGATGGTTTGGGGAAGGAGAAGTTACATTTTCAAAACTGGATTGGCACAAACCCCTCCCTGCCGCTGGAGTCCATGGCCGAGTTGGGTTCTTTGCTCACAGGGATGAGTGGAGAAAACGGAACGCACACGAGCCACTACCAAAGGGCTGAATCTAGCAACTGCCCGAGCAGCTAATCTCCTTGCAGAGTGCTCGACGGCACTGCTGCCACACCTGTAAAAGGGCGTTCCAGCCAGATAGGACAGAGGTCCCCCATGCCTGACCTTATCCCAGCATACCTGCTCCGCCAGCCAAGCGATGTGTTTGACCTCCTTGCTGCTTCCGGCGGCACAGTTGGCGCCCAACATGGCGTTGAGCTCGGCCAGCACCTGTGGCAGAAGGGCCGTGATGTTGGTGTGGATGGCCGTGAACCAGGAGTGCGCGGTCACTGTGTCTTTGCACCGCAGGATCAGGGTGTTTCTGCTGTCCGGAGAGTGCAGCTCTATCAACCTGAATGGGAAGAGACAGAGCTAGGCTGGGGGGTGCAGAGCTACACCTTGGGAAATGCTCAGCTCTTTGGGGGGAAGCGCCTGGCTGGGGTCAGTGGTGAGCAGCCTGGGCAGCATGCACATGGTCCCTGTGATGAAGTCTGAGGAGTTTCCAGACCGCGCCCTCGCATCTGCCCAGTGCAGCCCCAGAGGCAGTTCCGATCCTCCCTCTGCTAGGGCAGGGGGTGCCTTGTGGATCAGTCAGCCGGCTGAGCCGCTGTGCCACTGATGACAAACGGCAGAGCTTTCTAACCTCAGCTGGCAGGCGCGCCAGGGCTGATGCAAGGAGAGAGCACGAAGGAAGCGAGCGAGCATGGGCCCAGAGTCTGCCAGCCATTCGCAGGGCAATGGTGGCAGCAAAGGCACCCAGGTTCCTGCAGGCCTGCCCCCGCAACAGCTCAGATCCCACCAGGTTACTCAGCCGCTTGCCCAGGCACAGGCTGCTGGAGAAATCGATGCCAAAGGGCAAGCTGGCATCTCTCCGCTCCCTGGAATGCAGGTGCAGCACACATGCCCCTCACTCCCTCTGCCCGTCGCTCATAGCTATGGAAACCAGAGCCGACTAGCCCTGCCAAAGTGCTGACACATCTGCTCAGGATGCTCTTGACGCCCGACGTGATAGGAGCGCTCTGCAAGCCAACCATTCCCACCCGCAGCGAACACCGACTGTCCTCTTTCAGCAGTTACGTCCTTGGATCAGGGGGCACGTGCGCAATCCAGAGTGACGGTCAGACTGCCATCAAATCCAGAAGTCTCCCGGGCCTGGGGGCAGTCACCTCAACAAGCAGCTCCAGGGACGAGATTGTCCTGAGAGTGAAGTGGAAGGTGCACAAAAACCACCCAACGGCGAGCTGCTTACCCGCTTCTTAACACAACGGAGTCGCGCGCTTAAGTACATTGGGCCCGGCTAGCGGAGACAGAGCGCGCTGCTCCTTGGGGGAAGCCGACTGCAGACACAGCGTGACAAAAGCCTTTTGCAGCAGCAGCTTATTTCCAGCTGGATGAGCGGGGGCTGTGCAACGGGATTAGCATTCTCCACACAGGCCAAAAGCAGTTCATTCTGGTCCCGATGGGAACCCAAGCACAACTCACTGCCCCTCCCACCTGCCTGTGCCACAGGACCCTAGGCAGGAAATCTGTGCTGCTTTTGTCTGCGTCCAGCCCTCTGGTCCTACAGGCTGGCCTCCTCGAGAGGTTCTGGGACCTAACCTCCATGAATATCTAGCTCTTTTCTGAACCCTGTTAAAGTCCTGGCCTTCACCACATCCTCTGGCAAGGAGTTCCACAGGTTGACTATGCGCTGAGTGAAGAAAAACTTCCTTTGGTTTGTTTTAAACTTGCTGCCTATTAATTATAGACCTCGAACATATCCCTCCTCGGTCCTCTCTTATCCCTCCTCGGTCCTCTCTTTTCTAAGCTGAAAAGTCCCAGTCTTAGTCTCTCATACGAAAACTATTCCATACTACTACTCATTTTTGTTGCCCTTCTCTAAACCTTTTTGAATTCCAAAATATTTTTGAGATGGGGCAACCACATCTGCATGCAGCATTCTAGGTGAACTTGTACCATGGATTTTGTCCATTTTGTCTTATTTCCCTAACATCGCTTGCTTTTCTGACTGCTGCTGCACACAGAGTGGATGGTTTCAAAGAACTATCCACAATGATTCTAAGATCTCTCTTCAGAGGTGAGAGCTAGTTTAGTCCTCATCATTTTACATGTATAGTTGGGATTATGTTTTCAAATATGCATCACTTTGCATTTATCAACATTCAATTTCATTTGCTATTTTCTTGCCCAGTCACCTCATTTTGTGAGATCCTTTTGAAACTCTTCAGTCTGCTTTGGACTTAACTATCTTGAGCAGTTTTCTTATCTGCAAAATTTGCCACCTCACTGTTTACTCCTCTCTCCAGATCGTTTATGAATAGGTTGAATAGGCTTGGTCTCAGTACAGACCCCAGGGGATCATCAGTAGTTACCTCTTTCCATTCTGTAAACTGAGTATTTATTCCTACCCTTTGTTTGCGGTCTTTGAACCAGTTATGAATCAATGAGAGGCCCTTCCCTCCTATCCCATGGCAGCTCACTTTGCTTGAGAGCCTGCGGGACCTTGTCAAAGGCTTTCTGGAAATCTAAGTACACTATATCCACTGGATCCCTTTGTCCGCATGCTTGTTGACCCCCTCAGAGAATTCTAGTAGACTGGTGAGATACGATTTCCCTTTACAGAAACATAGGATTCTGTGCCGTGTTTTTATTGATGCACAGCTGTACCCTTGAACTACGCTGCTCATCCCACACGCACTACCCGGGAGGCATTTTGGCACCAAGCCCTTCGGGAGAGCAGTGTGCATCACTTGCCTTTCCACTGCAGTGCAGACTGGATTGCTTGCTGACTCTCTAAGAGCAGACAAAGCCATCATTTAGCTCTTACTTACTCCGACACTGAATTCTCCCCAAGTTACAACAGGCCATTCTCAGCACTGACGGGGCCAAGAGGCCCATGCAAACCTCCCAGCATTAGGACATGGTGGCGAAAATGCCATGAGCAGCACAGTCAGCACCAGCTCCAGCAGCACCAGAAAGGGTGGCTCCTCTTACGCCAGGGAGGTCAATCTCGGGAGCATATTGCTCTGCAGAAGAGCTCTCGCTCGGTCTGCTCAGGACTTAAGGGCAGTTAGCTCTTACTCACCCACGCCAACTTCCAGCAAGTCCCTCCCACGGGCATTCTAAGGAGACGCTGCTCTCCTGGCCCTTCTTGCCAGCCCTGAAGCCGCTGTGGCCCTTTCACAGGTTCCACTATCACATGGGAGCATGGCCATGTTGTGCAGCTTGAAGCAATAAGGCAGAAGACTCGGGCAGAAAGATGTCACCCTCCCCACTACCTAGGGGAGGGAGAGGGAGATCCTGCCTTGTTCAGACAAGGATGTGCCAGCCGGAACCCTTAAGTCATTTCCACTGCAGACCAACCCTGCGCCAGGACAGAGGCTGGCGAGGCAAAACCATCAAGTCAAACTTTTTGTGGCCAAAATCTTCTTGTGAGAGCACGGAGGGCGAGCCCTGAAATAGGCAGCCTGTGCACTGCAAAAACCCTGCAGCTTGGCCCTGGCTGTTCCCAAGAGCTGAGTGGGAGGCAGACTCCGGGCACAGGGGTCTGAAGAGCATGGGACAGTAAAAGGAAATGACCCTGCACCCCCCAGAGTGGGAATGCTCTGTAGCCTGAATAACTAGGCTTCTCCCCCTTTGCTGGGCTAAGGCAAACACCATCAGCAAGGAAGTGACAAAAATCTGCACTTAAGGAATTCCTGGTGAACTCCCTCCTGAGATTCCCCAAATAAGGTGGGAAGCAGAGAGGGTGCCTAGGAAGTGAGCACTCAGCAAAGCTCAGCAGCTCGACAATGTCCCTGAAGCCTCTGATTAAAAGCCACAGGAAGGATTTCTAGGTAGGCCAGGTGGGAACCACAGCAGGCTAAAAATACAACTAATTTCCTGGCACACTGCCAGGTCGTTAACATGCACAGTGTCCTCAGGGGAGGGCTGGTAAGGCCCTGCCCACCTTGAGGACATCTTTTCTGATGCCTCGTCATCAAGCTAGGACTCTGCCACCAACTCTGGGGAGCCAGGTCTACAGGTCCCCCAGGCCACAGCAGAGCAGCAGAAAGTGGAAGTCTGAGCCCGGGAAAAGGAGGGCTTTGGGACAAAAGCCTTGTTTCCCAGAATGGGCTGGCTCAGACAGACTGGTCCTGCAATAGCCCAGAAAGCAGGCAACCGGCCCTGCGGCAGCGTAACCTCCTGAAGATCGAGAGCTTTCTAGCTATAGCAACTTCCCCATCAGCAAGAGCCTGTCAGCATCTCCCTGGTCCCTAGCCCTCAGAGGGCGGCTTTGTTTAGGTAACCAGATACAGCAAGAGCAAGGGGAAGTGATGTGTGTCATTTCCTCCCTCTAATGACAAACCCAGTTCTCGGAGCACAGCAATGCAACCCCACTCTGCTGGGCAGGGCCCAGCCACCTCCTGGGCAGAGGGGGCGTCCATCCAAACGCTCAGCAGCACACAGAGGAGAGAAGCAAGTTCCAAGCAGCAGAGCCCAGCCTGGCACAGCAAGTACTGCCAAGCAAGAATGCTTGTTTGCCCGCCTCCATGTTAGAGCCGGCCCCCACAGGCTGTGAACCTGGCTCCGGACCGCCTCTGCTTGGACACTAACGTTGGAAGTAAAGAAAAGTCAGGTGGGTGAAGAAAACCTTCCACATGCGCCCAAAAGAATCTGCAGAGATGAACTAGAGCCCACACAACAGGTTAACTGTGACCCCGCAAGACACTCCTCAACTCTCTGTTCATCAGGAAGGTGCAGCTACTCTGGGACTGGGGGTTAGGTGGGGCATTTCACGTCAGCCCTCAGCAAGGAGCAGAGAATCAAAATAAGCACAACCACCTTCCCCCCAACCAGACCACCAATAGCATCTGACTGACCACCACTCACTGTCACTGTCACGACCACATGCAGTACCCCCCAAACAGGCGTGAGACAGGGCGCAGGGAAGGCCTGGGGGAGGTTCAGTCCAAGTCCACCTCAACTCTGGTTTAGAAGGCTACCGTGCCAAAAAAGTGATTCAAACGAGGGGGTTTGCATCCTTCCCTGGGCTGCAGCCTTTGGCCCCAGCAACACAGCAAAATGCAAACACTGCCTGCCCTACGCAGCAGCCAGCCCGCTCTGGCTGAGGCCTGGGGGGAGGAGGGGCGCAGAGTAGAGAGAGCTGGCTGGCAGCCAAACCACGGAGAATTTCCTGCAAGCTGCAGTTCCGACGTGATGAGTGAATCAGGAGATTGGCCCGAGGCACAGCTGTCCCCACCCTAAGCCTCCTTTAGTCCATCTTCTGCTGCTTAGCCAAGCCCGAGCATCCTCTCCAGAGCCGGCTGGAAGCCGATGCTGGGAACACGGACCAGCGGAGGAACTGCCATTTCCGCGGGAGCGTGCGTGTGGCAGGCAGCCAGGCAGCTCCTCCATGGACAGGGTTCAACACGCACATTATCCAGGCATCCTGTGGATATCCAGCCAGCCACCCGGAGAGGACACTTCCTCTGCTAGCCCCAGCACTAAACACACAGGCATCACAAGTAACCAGGCTGCAAGCGGAGGGGCTGATACAAACACCCTGAAGATGGAGCTCCTGTGACCAAACAAGCGGCACAAGGGTCTGTGCACACATGGCTGCTGTAGCCATGGACCATGCTGCTCCCCTCATATCCCTGCCCTGTGTGTGTCATTCAGCTCCACAAGCTGGGGCACAGCGGCGCTCTAACAGTGTCAGGGACCCCAGGTACAAGCGCTCACAGCCACAGGGAGCCTGCCACTTGCACAGCACCTTCAACCCAGGCAGCTCAAGCCACTTGGGTCTTGTGCCCTAGCTCAGGCTACCAAGCCCCTCTAGTGGCAGGGAAGGAATAACCACGCCCACCTATAAAACAGCTACTTCTGGGGTGGAACTCACTCCTCACTGAATGCTTGGGAAGGAAATCCACATGGCTAGATCTTGCTGAAACTGCCAGGGACCTTACGGGAAATGACAACACCTTCTAGCTGAGGAGCTCAGCTCTCCAGGACTGGGCTGGTTGACTGCAAGAACTGGCTCCCTTGGGACCGGCTGCCTGTCGCCCCGTGCTGCTGCCTCTGATACAAAGGCAGCAGCGTGGGGTGGCAGCCTGGGATGTGTGTCTGAGCTCCTGGATCCAGCGCGAGCCGGGACTGAGCCAGGCTGCTGGCCAGCCCGCTACACAATGTACTGGCGGGGGGTGGGGAAACGCATGTAGCCTGTAGCATTAACCTATACGCTTTTGCTTATCAGTTAATCTGCTACACTTACATCCCTAGCGCGGAGTGGCAGGGGGCTCCTCGGGAGTGGGGCTGGAGCGCACTGGCTGCCGGCCCCGCCCCAGGGACTATAGAATAGTCGACTAACCGCTAAGAACTCATGAGGTTACTCGACTATTCCATTAACCGATATTTCACATCCTTAGTCGGGGGTGTCTGAGCTGGAGCCAGGGTTAGAATGAATGTCTCCGGACTCCTAGCTCTAGCCTCTACCCAAGGGGGTGAAGTTACCTGAGAACCAACCAGCAGCTGGTCTATTACCTTGAATGTTGGGAAGCACCAAAGCAATCAGGCCACCAGCTTCCCAGCTGGCTCAAGGCAGCATTAGCAAGTCCCATGGCTGCTGCTACAAGGGCAGCTGCACAGGCATTTCCGCTGCTGGGGACCTAGTGCATCACAGGCAAACAGGACAGCTTTCCCCGGCTGCGTGAAGGTACAAACCTCATACCATGGGGTCTTTCATGCAAGGGGGCCTGCCAAGGAGAGAAACATCTGTGCCCTTTACTGACACACAGCCAAAGTCTGTTGGTGTCTCATTCGCCTGTGTTTGCTGGAGGATTCAGATTTAGCAGGACTGTGACAACACGAGGGCTCGCAAGTGAAGAGCAGGAAGGATCAGACTCTGGTTTTCTTTGCAAGCTCCCATTTAATTCCAGCTCCGAGGGCACCTGGGAGAAAAGCTCTCTCAGACTCCGACTCCTGCCTAGGACATTCCTGTTCCAGTGCTCTGGCCTCCCAAGAGCCGCCAGACACATTCCTGACATCCAGCAAGAAGCCAAGCAGGAAAAGCAGCTTTTAAAAAGCCTCCCAGACGCCTTCACACATTGCAAAGCAGTCAAAAAGGAATCGTTTCTCCCCTCGCACGTCCCGCACTACCCCAAAACGCCCAGAGCAGCCTGCTGTGCCCCATGGTCTCGGCATCCCTAGGTTCCAGCTCACCTGTTCTCCAGATCCGGCATGCTCAAGTTCCTGGCTACAAAACACATTTTCAGAGGGATCACTTTCCTGTCCTTGGCGCCATTGTAGTGCTTCGGTGAACCAGAGTCCTCACTTCCACTCAGGCTCGGTGACTGGGGAGCCGACCCGTCCCATGGAAGATCGGACACCAGCGATGGCTTCTTGATGTAGGGAGTCACTTCCCGCATGAACTTCACTAAGAACAGAGGTGGGAGAGGACAGCGCGTTAGCACCTGGGCCGCTTTGGAAGGGGTGTGTGCGCAAAACACTGCGTGCTCCTGTGCAGAAAGGTGAGGCCCAGAGCAGCATGCTGACTTCCCCAACAAGCAAGCAGGGAGCAGTGGTCTGCAACTCACTGTGAGGGCACTGCCTGCCAGTGGAGGGAGACTCGCCAAGCAGGCCTCAGGGCATGGTCTACCGTGAAGATGTAGCTTCACACCTCTGTTTTTCTACAGGCTCTCAGCTGCCTGGCAGCAGGGTGGGAAAGTCAGCTGCCTGGCAGCAGGGTTGGAAAGAGTAAACATTCATTCAGAATTTCCACAGGGAGGTGTCCTCAGCACTGGGTGACAGGCTCTAGGCACACCATGAGGCCAGGAAAGGACTTGCTCGTCTTAGATTAAATCAGATTGCTGCTGTCTAGCCTCTGTAAAACCAGTTCCAGTGCTCTGCTCCCTTCATCCATGGCCTCAGGCCTGACACCTCCTCCATCTCAGCAGTGGTCTCTGGATATTGAAATCAGAGGTTTATCAGACACAGAAAGTGTTTTATGGCACTTGCAATTCTTCCTTTCCCCTACAACTCCTGCATGCACTTGCCAGAGATGGGGGCCCAGTGCTCCAGGCACTAGCCTAGACTCTAGTCAGTTCCCTGCTCGGCCACATATATCCTGTGTGACCTTGGGTACGTCATTTAGCCTCAGCCCCCCAGCAGCAGAGTGGAGAGAACAGCCCTGCCCTGCTGCCCAGGGTGCGTGAGCAGAGAGAGAGTAAGAACTGAGTTGCTCAGATAATATGGCAGTGGGGCCCATCTCTGTACAGACAGGTCAGGCCAGTTCTCGAGTAGATGCTCCTGCAGGCACACGCTACAGCCTGACACTTGGTGATGTCACCATCAGCTACAGCACTGACCCGAGGCCCTACCACTGCCTGACCTCGCCAGCTGGAACACTAGTTGAGTGAAGAAAGTACCAGCCAGCTCCTGGAGCCACAGTCTGGGAACACGCAGGGGCCTGGAGACGTGGGTTCTAACGCTGGCTTGCTCTGGACCTCAGGAAAGTCCCTTACCCTCTGAGCTCCAGTCCTCCTTATAGCAAATGGAAGCGCTGTAGCAGTCAGGGCATGCAAGAACTACAGCCTGCCTGAGAGGGGCTAGAACCCAGGCGTTTGCTGGAGCAGCCAGGGCTGGGGTCGCTGGCTCACCATCCAGCCAGATGGCGCTTCCCAAGCGGCACCCAAAATAGGAATTGTTCACGGCTCATACAGGGGGTGGACTGCTAGGAGAAGCTTGTGCACAGGTGGATAAACTCCTATCTGGCTGGCACAGGGTTCCCCAAGAGGAGCCAATGCACACCCAAACCCCTCATGTGGCTACAGGAAGAAAGAAGCTGCTTTGAGGTCCAGAGCCTCCCCTGAGGGCACCTAGTCTAATCTAGCAAAAAGAAGTTCCTATACTTACAGCTACCCAACCAATCCTCACCAAGAGCAACAGGCTGGGGTGTTGTACACTCAACAGCTTGTGTAGGCAGAGCGCATTGCACACAAGGGGCTCCTGGCCCAACTTCCTGCATGTCACCTTCACGTCGCCCTCTATCACGGGGATTTACCCATTTGCTCACTTCCAGGAGCTGTATGCCCCCATTCTGTTCCCCGCACTGATTAGTCTGGGTGTCTGCAAGTTAATTTCCTTTGGGAGGAAGCACAGGGCTATGCTTATGCTTGCAAACGCTAACAACGGCCAGGTCTGCCATCATCTAGTTGTTTGATCCAGAGACAACGGCAAAGGCCTCTGAAGCTGTGTCTGTGATAAACAATGGGCTCCATGCGCCTCCATTTTTTCCCTTTCAGCTTTCTGATTTTCCTCAACACCAATAGGGTTCTGGCCACAGCTGCCTCGCAGTTTAGGAATTGATCCGCTCCAGCATTGAAAGTGAATGGCCTTGCAAGCCCCACCAATCAGAACACGTTTGAGTTCCCCCTCCGAATTCTGAGCAGGAAACATCTCAATAAATGAATCCACTCAGTTCTGGACCCCTCTTGTGACCCAAACCCCCTTTCCAATTTGCCTTGCAGGATCCCTAGGAGAACTAGGCCGGTACAAGAACCCACTTGGAATCTGCCAGGCACGTAAGTTTATTTTCAATAAAACTTGAAAGAATGATCAAAAACCTGCTTTCTAACTGGAAGCTGCCTGTACCTTTAATTCTCAGCCTCTCATCCCTGCAAGCTGCGCATTAAACACCCTCCAAACTGGGGAGGGGGAGCTGGGGTGAGGAAAACACATGTTGTACGTTCCAAAGCAAATGCAGGCTGTGGAACTACGGGGCTGCCATGACTCCAGCATTCCCCTTACCCTGTATAAGATATTCTCTGAAGTTGGGTTCTGCAAAGAACGTGACATTTAAACAATGGCGTAGTTTAGATTCTTAAAAGCCACAGGAAACTCACCCTGCTGAGAATGAGAACAGTGTCCAGACAGCTGAGTTAGGGCACAAAAAACCTGCGTGAGGGAAATGCAGCTCTTTGGTATTAACTGCTTGGTTTGTTACAAGGAGGAGTGTGTCTCCGAGGCTGAAGAGGTTACTGAATTCTGGAGTTTATTGGACTTCTAAAATCATCTCCTTCTTTCTCTGTCTCAGAAGCTTCCCGGACCCAGAGAAGCTGCACAAAGCCTCATGTAGGGCTCACACCTAAATTACAAGCGTTCTGGAAAATTACTGCACACATCAAGCTGCCTGCTTCTTTGTGAAGAGGGTGCTAGCATTGGTGACACAGGGGTGGCTGCCAAAACATTCTCCGGAATGCAAGGACTTTTTAGTTACTATTTTTGTGCTTCTGAATAGACTGTTGTACATCACGGCTCCTGTAAGGGTCAAACCCTCTGGCAACTTTCTAACCAGACGTGAATTTCTGTGGCAAATGGATTCAGAATGGGACTAGTCTCACGACGGTCTCTCAGCCTGTGTGAACACTTTGGCAAGGCAGGGTAGAAATGTACCAGCACTGCCCTGCCACACCCTCAAAGTCCCCCGAGTGAGCTCTGATGTGCCTACTCCAGGGTCCAGATGGACAATTAGCTCTTCGCAGGCTAGCACAAATCCACTTCACACCCCAGCGTGCCACAAACCAAGCGTCCCCATAGGCATACCCACAGTCACACTGCACGGGGCTACACAGACTAATGCTAGGGTCGCTTCTGATGTGCCATGGAACAGCGTGCTCTAGAATTAGCTATTCTGCAAGACCATCCCCTCCTGCTAATGCAAGGCAAAGAGCAGTACAGACCCAGCTTCCCCTCAGTGTCATCCCTGCATTTCCCAGTGGCCAGGATCTCTGAAGCAAGGCGGCTCGCTCTGCCCCAGCCTGTGTGCTGAGCCACGATCCTGTCCGGGCTGAGTGAGCGCTAACCATCTAGCTTGAGACATAAAGCTGGTTATTTATTATAGCCACAAAGCTTTCACCAGCTGGTTCCCATAAACCACTAACTGCCTTCCACAGCACAATTAGCACTCCATCAATCCCTCGCTGGTGCTCTTCCATCCCTCAGGAGTGGGTCAGCACTTCCCGGGGCTGCCAGCCAGCATCCAAACCAAACTCTGTAAATGCAACTTCCAGAAGACACCCCAAACTGGCCAGCACAGGAATGGACCTGGGGCACAATTTCAGTCCCTCCCCAAGCTGATCGTAGGAATTTACTTTGCCCTGCTCCAATTCTCTGGCCATCCCTCCCTTCTCAGAGTCAGACTTCAGGCTCAAACCTGAACAAACTAGTTTCAAGCAGGAGGCATCTAAGCCTGCTCTTTGAGGCTGTGGCCAGCTAACTCCCGCCATGCTGGCTATGAACAGCTAGGCCTTGCGTTTCAGGCCAAACTGATCGCGAGAAGCCCCTGGCACCTGTCCAGAGCACAAAAATGTGCAGAATGCGGCTAGATGAGCAAAGCCTCCAGAAAAGCCTTCAAAATCTCAACGGCGTCATTACACAGAAACCTGAACCAAATCCCACTGGTGTTAGAACCTGTGTCACAAAGGGCTCAGACAGCTCCGCCAAACCAGCGAATGACAGTGCAGAGGACATGCTCTGCGTGGAGTGAGTAGATTATCCTTTATCCCTGCTGGGGAAAAAAGGAAATGCCTACTGAAAGGTGGGGAACAGCGTGCTGTGTTGTCAGTGGGAAACAGACCACCACGAGTTACTACCCCAATTGGGGAATCGCTCCACATTGCTGCCAGCTGCCACCCAGTCCAGCTCTTCTCTACAACGCATTCTGCACCACGTTATACTGGTGGATGGTTCTTTCCCTGGCATGTGCTCCCTCTGCTCTATATAGATCACAAGACAAGGAGGGAGGGAGAGCTGACTCCAGTGGTGCAGACAGGGAATGGTGCAGAGAAGAACATTATAAAAACATGCTGCGCCACAAAGACTCAGAGGTGTGGACTGGGACTTCATTTCCAGGAGATTAGAAGCATCAGGAAAGCCGGAGATAGAATCTACATAGCAGGTAGCCTCCTGGCTCCCTCCACTCCCTGTCAGACAACTGCACTCAAAGAGCAAGAGGCAATGGCTGGTTAGTTAATTGGCGCTTGCTGTTTTAGCCCTACTGGAGTGAAATAGCAGAGATCCACCCCGAGTTGTTCAAAGAGGGAAGGGGAGCAACCAGGACTTTCTAGAAAAGGCCATCATCAATACTAAGGGCAGAGAAGAATTCTCAGACCTGGAGAAACTCCTCCACATTCAAAACAAGGGCTCTTCAGATCAAGTTCAGATGCATCATCTCCCCCCACAAGTCGCGCCCTCAGGAGGGCGGAGGGACCAGACAGTTCATCCCCACTTACTGGCAGCACAAGGCACGGAACTGAAGTAGGAAAGAGAATATAAACCAGCACAATGGATAGGACCAAGGGGTCAACTGCCATCCCATCCTGGAGCTCATCTGTAGTCATGCCTGCAAAAAGATGACTCTCTCCAAGTTTCCACAGCTTTTGACGCTTCACCAGTAGCCTAGGATCTGCGCTCTCAGCTGCCAGGATTCTGTCACACTGGGGGGTTTCTAGCCAAGTTGGCACAGTCCCAAAGGCTTCTCTGGCGTCAGCAGTGGAAGGGAGAGAGGGGAGCCGTTTGTACAAACCCCCAGAAGACGTGACTAACGAGTACAGTGAGAAGGAGCACTTTCCGAGCAGGCTAACAGACTCACACTAGCCTCGCCTACACTGAGGGCATTTTGGAAAGATCCCTCAGTGTTGCTAAGGGCAGTCCAGCAGAACC